TTAATAAACTTACTTTAATCTAATTCTTAATGTTGGATCTTGAAATTTTTGTTTCTGTAGCTGAACAGCTTAAGATTGCAACGCTTAAAACTCTCTTAATTTTTTTAACTCGGCTGATTCCGCTCGTTCGCGGATCTCGCTCTGCGCGTCGGTTGGACAGGAGGGAGGTAATCGTTGGGTATTATTATGTTTTAATATTGTATCTATAGCTTTGTTTTATTTTCTCTTCATTTAACTTGTAAGACTAGGTATATTTACGTTAGAAATGGCAAGAGAGTTATCTATTAATAACTTTGAAAGTCTATATTAACATCCCGTATTTATAAAATAGATTATTTCTCACACGCTAGGTAGAAATATATGGTGTTATTTAATTTTAACATTTAGTTTAAGAAAATATGACTTTGCAATTAAATAAAACAAAATAATATCAAAAATACAGAATTTTATTTAATAGAATTCAACTTTTTAGGAATAACGATAGGGTAGCAAATATAATAAGAGAGCAGGGAAACAAACAAGATTGTTACTGTTAACATGTTTATATTTTAAAGGTAACAAACTGCCAACAAAAATAATAACACTAACAGAAAATTGGTTAACAAATACTTATTGTTATGCATAACACATAGGTAAACTACGCGCTAACAAAAGTATTTGTTACCCTTAGCAGACTGTAAAGTGAATGGATAACAAATTTATGTCATTTTGTTAGAAGAAAACAACATGCAATATTTACCATTGGGTAGAGTGAGAAAATCAGTGAACATCAAATGGCATGTGGTACTTTTTTCCCACTATCTGACCAAAAGCAACAAATAGTTTGTGCATGTACCACAGCGTGGTCAACATTTCTCAAACTTTGTTTTTGAATCTTTTGCACGGCTTCTATATATGTCCAAATTGGTACCAGGGTTTGATTATATATTAAGATTTTATTTTGCGTAGTTAAAGGTGAATACTTCCCGATAAGCAAGGTTATGTTGTTATGTTTGAAAGTTTGCATCCAGCGTCATGTCAAGGAATTTTGCAGAGGTGGAGTACGAAATTATTGCACTTCGAATATATAAGAGAATATATGTAAAACTTATGTATTAACGTGAAGATATATAGAAGTGGCCCTACAATACTTCCTTTAGGTACGGTACACCTGTTTTATTGGCTCTAGAGTTAAAAAAGCTTGTTCCTGCTTGATTCTGAAGTAGCGGTTGCTTAAGTAAGAGACAGTTAGATTCCGTGGAATTATATATAACTAGTCTAAACTCGTGGCTCCGCCACTTTTTGTCAAGGATATCGTTTACCGTGATAACAATATAATGTAATAGTTAAATTGGCAATCTACATTTTTATTGACATCCTAAATCACTTAAGAAATGATATATATATAAATGTGTTGATGTAACAACATCATCACAGTCTCTGCATCTGCATCGTATATCATTACATATGCTGTAAACATTAAGTTAATTATAAGTTATCTGAACCACCCATTGTATAATAGAAATGAATTGTATGTATATGAAGTACCCGGTGACCTGTCAAAAAAAAAAGAGCCGGTAACCATTTTGTAAAACATCCGACATTTCACTTGGCTTTTTAGCAAGCGAGAAGAACAAAACGTGTAATTATTAAATCTCAGGTGTGGGGTTGTATCCACAGCCATCCAAAGAAAGAAAATAAGAAAAT